GCCACAAAAGCACGAGCATGCTCTTAATCCCATACAGTTGAAGAACATTAAAAGAAAAGCTGTTAAAAGTTTTGAAAGTAACCGATACTCGAAAAATGTAACCCATGTATCCAGTTAAACATCCAGTCTATCCAGAACATTTCAATTGAAAAACTACGCGAAAATAAATAACTATACCAGAACTCAAACCCTAGAAAAACTAAAAATGCTCAGAATAAATAGAATCGATCGACGCAAATGACGAATTCCCTAAACCATACCACAGGTAATAATTTGCATGCAAAAGTTAGATTCACCGTTTTCAACTGAATTTATTACGTCGCACTTCAAGCAAATAATCCAAGGAAAATCCAAAAGAATAAGAAGAATTGTCGAGAGAATTTCATAAATACCACATAGCTTAATTGAGAGAAGCAGCGTATTACCTTTCCTTCCTTCCTCTCTAATTTAGCTGATTTTATCACTGTATCTTAGAGAGAAGGAACGGGTGAATAAGTTTTTTTGTAAGAGGGCCACAATGAAATAGTGTATAGTGAGAGAAAGTGCATCTTATTGTAATTGGTTAGGGTTCATGAGAAGAGGATTGCCTGCATGCAAGTCCATGTGCTTAAGTATGAGTTTTAACTACTTGTGGTTGATAAATTGACACGACGTGATCAACGGTTGGGATTTTCTTAGACTGCCAATGTTATTACGGGCCTATCTGGCATAGTTTTGAGATCAAAAAGTTATTTTGAAACTCGTTTGATTAATTCTATAAAAAAATGCTTATTTTATCTAAAAGCACTTCCAAAATTTTTAAACAAAAATTAGGATAACACGATCATGTCAAATAGGTCTAAGTCCCGTTTGTCTAAAAATAATAATAATTAAATCAAGGACAATTTTAATTTTGATCAAATATTTAGTAAACACCACAATTTTTATGAATTTTTAATCACACGTTTATGAACTTTTATTATTAAAAATGGATTAATAGTAGAAAATCCTCTAAAAACGTTTCCAATTACAATATATCCCCATCTATTGAAAATTTCATAAATCCCTCATGTTTGAAACGTTTTGTACAAAAGCCCTTATCTTCAACTTCCGTCAGATTTGCAGTTAGAAATAGTAAAGGATGCCAAAATTAAAAAGAAACAATTGTAATTTCAGTACCCAAATTTTTTTTCAGAGATTAAATCTAAAATTTTTATATGTAGCAACATAGCATCTCGAGTCATTAAAACTTTATTTTTCACCACACTGCTCTCACCTTATCTTCTTTTCTAAAATTAAAATAACCAAAAAATAAAAAGGTCATTCCCTTTAAACCCTACCACCGTCGGCACCATCATCGCCCAACCTCAACTGCCCATCTCACATGAGACACATTGTAAGTCACTGCCACCACCATCAAACCACAGCCACCTATCTAACGTAGTCCCTTCAATTAATTGAGATATAATAGCATTAATGTTCTTGCAAGCTGCACACGAATTAAAGGACTGGATTAGATTAATTGTTTGCATGCCCATGTTTGTTTGGCCCTAACCATGCATTTCCACATATAAATTTATAGATTAAAGCGCTTTGGGACCCATCAATTTTGGACATAATGTAATCACTATGTGTAGCATTTGGGACAAATTTTGTACCAGAAATTGGAGTAGATGGGGGATAATTGGCATAATTAAATTCATACACTTGGTCATTTGGATTGGTTGTTTATTTGATTGATGCCAATTTGGGAATTCAATGTTGTGTGAGTCATGAATTGAAGGAGACGTGTTCGGTAAAAAATGAGTCCTGACCTCCGAATAATTTTGAATAACAGCAGATCGAATAGAGGCTTTTTGGTTTGATGTTAGGCCATGTTTAGGGTCATCTAGATGAGGGCTGACTGCCGATGGTGGTGCGCGACCATGGGTGTCGCCGAAAGTGGGGTTGTCAGTAAGAAAGTGTTCGCCAGTTCGCTGTTTTGGCTTCAGGTGGATTTGATGCCAGCAGTAGAATTGAAAGTCGATAGCGTGCATGGTTGGATGCTTTAATTAAACAGAGAGGAGATTATGAATCCGCCCAAAAGATATATTGAATTTTGGAATACGAAATGCACCCACTTCCTCTTAATCGTATGGGAGGTAATTATCTAAGAATTTGGATTCGGAGCTATTTTTTCCCACTAAAGCTGAAAGTTCGTCTTTGGCATCGGGAAGAATAAAATACATAAAAGTGGGTATGGGTGAAGTGGAGTGGAAAATAAAGTTTTAAAGATTTGGGATAATAGATTGTACATATAAAAATATTTGGATTCCATATGTAAAATAAATAAATAAATTGGATACAAAAATTACAATTATTTCTTTTTAATTTTGGAATTTTTTACCTTTTTAATAGCAAATCTAAAAGAAGTTGATAGCATGTGATTTTTCGAACAAAAAGTTACAATTGAGGGGTTTTCTGCAATTTTCAATAGGTATGGAGTATTCGCAATTGAAACTGTTTTTATGGATTTTTTTGCTATTAATCCTATTAAAAATCTAATTTTTACCAAAAAGAGACTTCAATTAAAATTTGAGTGATAAATTTGATATAAAATAATTTCTAGTGACTAAAATGAAATCTTTGCCAGACTTTGGTGACTAACGTGACGTTTGTTATACTATTTTTCTTCCAGGCTTTCCAGCCGTGCTACATGTACAGGGGCAGCCGGGGAGGGGTGGTTTGGTTTAGAACCTATCACACATGGGGGTGGATGGGACCCACCAATGCGAGAGTCAACCTCAAAAATCCTTTTTCTTCCGGATGGTGATAAACCCTAATGGAGCTATATGGTCTTACTGTACAGGCTTCCGCTTCTTCACCCAACTCCACTTCTATCTGACAGACACACAAGAAGATGGATATGCGTACTTGGAGGGCTGAACAAAATCCGAGCATCTAACTCGTATCATTTTGCGTGTAGTGATCCTCGATTTCATTGAGCTATCTTTTTTTAATTTTTATCAATTTTCCCTTTTAATGATTTATTATTTCGAAATATTTGATGTTTCTTGGTGGCGATGCAAAGTTTTCGTTTTCGTTCATGATTTTTTGTTTCTTCTGGATTATTTGCAAGAATGATGTCTTAATCTGCTTTTATATGGATTTTCACCGTGCTCCTAGTTTACCAAATTTTCTGAAAATATTACCGATTTTTCTATTTCATTAGTAGTGTCTGTTCGGTGTTTCCATTGTTGGGGGAAGTTCTTCAAATTTCAATTAGCGAAAAACTCTTTCGACTCCATGCATCTAAAACTCTGCGCCCTGTTTGTGCTTTGGGAAGTTTTTACTTTTCTTACTCCTAAATATTGATCATGGGAATCCTAAAGTTTCCCTTTTTCTCTTCTATAACCCCTTTAAATGTGGTCTTGAAAAGTTTACCTTTTGCACGTTCGTTTTGATTTTATGCTTATTATTGTGTATAGGTTCTTTCTCTGTGGCAACTGTTTTATAAATTTTGAAGGATTATTTCTTTTTCGCATCTTTAAATTTATGTTTTGAAGGATTATGTGATGTTAGTTTGATGATCATGGATCACTCACGCAAAAATGATGTGAGTTGATGTTCAGTGTGACAACAACTCGCACTCTGAGATATGTCATTGAATTTGGGAATTACTCTAGTGAGATCATGATGAACTTTCTTTATCGAGCTTTCGAATTTTTAGTTGTGGTTGAGGGGAAGGGGAACGACGGCACATGTGGTTAGCTCTGTTGGGATTCATTGGCTTATGGTAACCTCCAATCCATGTTTTCCTGGCTTGGTATGTAATTTTCTGCAATGAAACTTCATTATTCTGTCTAAGTTAACTAGCATATTTGTTCAATACTATTGTAACGATGGCTCTAAATAAATTTTCTTCCACTCTTCAATTTCCATGCTGGTCTCCATGTTAGCCTCATTGCTTATTTCTTGCCGACTTCTTCACCTGTCACAATATGAATGAACTTATTGTGTTTTCTTTATCCTTTCCCCCTTGGCTTTCCCTTGTTTATTTGCTTGTTGCAAGAAAAAAACTTCAGCGCTGTAAGTAATTTCCTTTTCCTTTCACTTCTGTTTTTTGCGAGTATTTGTACGGTCTTTCAGACTATTGTAAATGAGAAGTCCTGTAGATTATGATCTTAGATGTAGCTTCACTGCCCTATTATTTGGTTCTTAATTCGGTGGTGCCTGTATTTTTTGATTTGATATGTTAGCTTAAGATTTCAAATTAACAACCCGAAGTAGTTTACTTTCCTGGTTTTCATTCCTGATGGTTGTGCTTAAATAGACGAGGAACTAAGTACACGCTTACAAACTAGCAGCAGTTCTTGTCTAAGTAGCTCTGTAGCTTATTGCAAGCTTGTGGAGCCATAATGTGCTCATTGTGTTCTTGTATTTAAAAACCCCGCAAAATTTCAGTTAGTTGGATAATGCCTTGGCATTTCCAATTCTGCTATAATTAGTTCTCGCGTCCTATGAAAGGTGAACCTAGAGCTGATTATGATTGCCAGAACTAGCATTAATTTTAGGAGACCAATCTTGATCGGGTTAAGTTGAAGGCCAAGATTGAAAGTGACGTTCTGAAATTTGATTTGTCACCAAGAGAAATAATGATTTATGTTGTTGTCATGGATATCTGGAGCTGAATATAGAGTGCAGGCTTGAGTATTGGTGATACGAGACTCTGTTCGTATCTTTGATTGGAAAATGTACCCTTGTGTAAGAGAATAAAACTTGTGTCGTCATCAAAGTAGAAAATTGTCCATGTGAAAATGAGTTTCCATCTTATTATTTTGAATAAATCTGATTTTATTCACGTTATCCATAGCTTATTTGTGAGCAAACTAGACATATCCACAAAATGAACCAAGAAGTATGTTCACCAAAAATATTTATATTTTCCAAATTTTTTACATGGCACATTGAAAACCTAGAAGACAATAATGCTCCTCTTATCAGTCTAGTCCAGTCTAGTTGAGACCCGTATATTCAAACAGTTAATTGGTGTTGTCATCGTCCTCACTATTCTGTTTCTTAAAGGGCGAGTATCCTTTCTGTAACAGCTTTTCCACTTCCTCAAACTGCATTCCTTTAGTTTCAGGTACGAGGAAGAAAATGGCGACTAGTCCAATGAAGGAGAAACCGGCAAACAATAGGAACGTACCGGCAGAGCCAACAGCTTCGGTTAATGTTAAAAATGTCTCGCTCACTATCAGATTTGATGTCCAGTTTGCGACTGCAGCAATTCCTCCACCAATGCCTCTGTACTTCAATGGATAGATTTCGGAATTTACAATCCAAGGTACAGTTCCCATTCCTGGTGAGTATGCAATGATATACAGTCCAAGGAGTAAAACTGCCCAGATTCCAATTGAGCTTGGACATCCCTTTGTGTACCATATCCGATTCTCGGATCGGCATGCACCTTTTATTGCATCAGTAGAAGCTAGACAAGCTCCAGCACCATACTGATCAATGAAATCAAATCTATCTTCAATAAGTATTGAATAAAAAAACTAAAGAGAATGTGTATATGATTTTTGATGAATCAAATCCAAACATCTACCCTAACTGAACTAGCAATTTATATATTCGTGTTAATGATATATACTGTATATGACCTACTTTGTTGGCTCCGTTTGAGCAATATGCGCAGCTGTCTTCCTGCAAACATGTCATGCAGTTCCAAGATGATGCATCTGCAGAATTCACGTAACTTGGGCAAGTAGAGTTTCCACCGAAGTGTGCAGACTCAAAATTGCTGATATGTGGGGAAGTGGCAGAAGCTCGGTAAAACACAGCAGATAACGTCACAAGGCAGGTAATAATTCCAATCATAGAAATGATCATAAGTCTCCTCCTTCCGTGCCTATCCACAAAACCCATGCTAATTAAGGATCCAATGGCATTTAGACCAGAAGTAATAAGAGAAAGAGCCAAAGCTGTCTTATTTGATGCAAATCCTGCAAACTGGATTATAGTTGGACTATAATACATGACAGTATTAATACCCACAAACTGCTGAGCCACCTGAACTGTAATGCCAGCATATAGCCCCCTACGAACAACATCATTACCCCAGGCTTGTTTCACTTTCTGGAAGATGTTGCCTTCCCCAAGTGAACCTTCCAAGGCCTGCTCTTGCTCGAGTGATGTTTTCAGGGCTTGCATCTCGCCTTCAACTTCGCCAGCTGGATATATTTTTTCTATGATGGACCTTGCCTCATCTTCTTTACCCTGATTCTCAAGACAAGTTGTAATTTCATTACCAAATTCATTTACTTAACTACAGTGTGTGTGTGTGACGGATATCGGGAGCATACATTTCTGTAAAGCCATCTTGGAGACTCGGGGAGCGATAACATCAAAATAAATTGAACTAGTGCAGGAAGACCAGCAACGCCGAGCATCCAACGCCAGGTTCCACTGACCTGAAATAGGTGTGATGCCGTTAAAGAATTGACCTCGCTCGTGAAATTCTAACAGGAAAAAATACAGATAGCTTCAAACTCTTACACGGGTGAAAGCTAGATTGATAAGATAAGAAAGAAATTGTCCTCCTGTAATGAGAAGCCCATTTGTACTGACAAGCGCACCTCTGATTCTGTGAGGCGAAGCTTCTGAAATATAAAGAGGGGCAGTCATAGAAGCCATTCCAACTCCCAATCCCACAAATACTCTACCAGAAATGATCATCCAGGGAGCTGGAGATAATGCCATAATTATTGCACCAACAAAGAACAGAAAATCGGCCACCAAAATCGATAATTTTCGCCCATACTTGTCATTAATCCATCCACCTACTGCAGCGCCTACTATCGCTCCTGCAACAGCCATGCTCACAATGGTTTCCTACAACACATCAAGGTATGATTACTATTCGTATCAATACTTTGGAGATGATTCGAATATGTATGCACACAAACACAGATACCTGCTGCCATGTATTTTTATCTACAGCTTTAAAATCCTCTCGAATATACAGGAGGGCACCAGAAATAACACCTGCAACCCAAATTCCGATAATGAATGATACATGCCTAAACAGCCTGAAGAAGATTAAAATGGAATGAGATTATGGTACCGGTGTCATAGCCAAAGAGAAGGCCTCCAATGCCTGCAGAGAGGGCTAATCTCATGATATAAGGTGTTTGCCATGCTGTCCTCCAGCATTCTGTGAACTCGGTTTTATTTGCAGCGGAAACTGCTCCTCCGTCCACCATTTTTCGAACGTAACTAATGAATTTAAGGCTGTTTGTTGTTGGGGTTCCTCGAAACACACGAGAATCGCAGAAGGGATCCTGACATATAATGTCTACGTGCATAAAAATCATGTAAAACAAAACCCATTGATTAATTTCTGTTCGTCTGTTACATTTGATCAGGACAAAAAACAGCCCATATTTAAAGATTAATATAAACCTTTGTATCTTCTTCTGCTTGGTTATTGTCTCTTCCGGAATGAAAACAAATGTCTTGTGTCCCTCAAAATGAATTTGCCCACAAGAGTAAAAGAAAAAGGATTTCTCTGCAAATTTTCATTCTACATTATATAATATGTGGGAGATGAGTTTTAGCCATAGAATTATATCCAAATTTAGCTACTTTTATTTAGGACAGGATTTGACATCAGCCTTAAATATCGTCCTTGATGATCCTTACTTTTCGAATTGAGAATTGTTGTCCTAAACTTGTTATTTCCTTATTTGTCCCTTCATTATATTTTTGATATCATCTTTCCTTGGCCAATATACCCACTGCACTTTTAAAAGATTACGGAAAATAATCCTTAATTGCACGGCTGTTTGAAAGAAGATGATGGAGATCATTTTACAATGCCAGATTTTTTAATATAAATTTTGACACAGTGCCATGTGACATTGTATTATTGGATTGTTTTAAATACAATCAACTTTCCTATCAAATCGTCTTCCGTCACTTCAAATTATGTCAAAGCATTTGTTAAAATTTTCTGTCAAAGTGGCAAACTCAAATTCTTATACATTGAGCCATGTTTGGGCCCCATCTTATGTTTCCGATTTAGAGGTTGTCTGGGACCGATTTTCAACAGGAAAATTGATTTTTCAGCCCCTTTTTTTTTACCGTTTCTCACACACATGCAGCCCATATATGTGAAATTCAGCCCGTTGAGTGGTGCAACGGTCAAAAACTGACTTTTAATCCAAATTTTAAGTGGTACCAGACAAGGTTTTAGTTTCTTCAGATACGTCTTATCACGCTCACTGAATCAAAATTTCAGATTCATTTTTTGGAAGAAAGCATCGAATACTAAGAAGTAAGGAACCAGCAAATCCTTATCACTTGAGAGAGGCTAGATCGACTAGGTAGTTTGGTTGGTATCCATGGATGCCTCCTTTTCGACTCAAACATAAAGGGCATCCTTGAGTTTGCTGCTAAACGAATACGGGAAGGGATAGCTGATGGGGGCAAAAAGATAAATTCTTTATAACTCAAGAACTTCGTCAATTGCAGAACCTCGTGGAAAAGTGAACAAAGGCAGAAGAAAAGTTGATCAGAGTATGGTATTGCCAAACTGCTCTGTCACATATCAATTCCATTTCATTGCAAGATTTCTCAAACCTCTAAGACTTCTCACCATTCACATATCAATTCCATCTCATTGCACGATTCACTGATGAAGGTGTCGAAGCAAAAAAAATGCAACACCAACAAACTGGAAACCCGAAGAGTCCAGTGGTGATTGTGCCAAGTGAGTCGAATGATGAGGCCAAAAAGATGTTCTCAAAGGATTTCGACACTACTGAACTTCCATCCAACAAGGATTACCTGCTATTCACAAATGTCTGAGCATATAACGTTTGTGCATGCTTATGTTTGTTTTAATTTATTGAGTTGTGCTTGAAATTTATAACTTACTGTTTTTATGCAAGGTTGATTTATGTGTTTTATGTTATACATTTTTATTTAGGCTTTTTTTTACAAAAATTCACGCAATCCATAAAATTGATCCATTAAAGTATTATGACTGCTAAACTTAGTAGTGTATAAATTACGAGAAAATATACTAACAAAATTTGGGTTTCTTTCTCTTTATTAAGAATGTTTGGTGCCGTTTAATCTTTTACTCCAGGATTGCCATATAATCTAATAATCACTTAAAAGTGAAATGTAATTAATCTCAAAATACATCAGCACTTTTCTTAACTATATTGGCGCATTTCAAAAAAATTATTTTCAGGGTTCTTTTTCTGGGTCCTCAAATATAAAATAAACTGCATAATGGGTCCTAATTAATGCCCTGCTGTTCGAGTGTTTCTTGGACGTTTTGGCCTATTGTTGATTTTAAATATTGTTCAGGTCCCATTTTCAAAGTTCAAATCCAATTCTCACCGCCAGAATCTTGTCTTTTGATGATGGAATTTGGCTTTCCCAACGGATAAACATGTTTTAATCATTAAATAGGAGAATAACTTGTGATATTCTTAACTTTTATAGGCAAATCTTTTAAGTGGTCGCATGAGCAGAAAGTACATTAAACAGCTTCGAAAAATGAGAGATCAGGGCCTAAACTATAGTACAATTCTATTTGGTACGGAGGGAGCAAGAGAGCTCTCTGTAAAAGGTTGAACCCAACCTTAAGGGCACCCATCGCCTCGCCCCTAGAGCATTGTGGATGAGGTAAATCGTTAGACGTGCCTCAATAAGTCAGGGTACAAGAGCTGACATACTTGTACCCACAAAGAGTCCAATTTCATATATTGTAAGAGGCAGAAATTGAACTCTCACACTGCGACTACCAGCTTAGTTGAGACCACCTCACTCATATTCTTTGTACTACTGAGCTATGCCTCGGGGGGTGCAAGGGAGCCATCCGTAGCTCATATTTGTGGCAACCATACCAGAGATTTAAGGTAGGGAAGTTGGAGTTAAGAGCTATGAGAAAGGAGGATAGGGATTAGTTGACTACGGTTTTGCTACATTTACATTTTGATTGATAATTTTGTTTACACTCCATGATGTGGCACATAGTTCTATCATTATTTTCAACAATACTTAAAATAATCAATGATCTCGATTTTGTCATATCAAATGATGTCAAACTAGCTGTACACTTTAATTTATATGTGCAACGATGGATGTGTCAACCTTTGTCTATGGAGAGGAGTAGGGGTACAATCTCGTAAATACTTATAGTTTTCTTTTGGCATATTTAAAAATTGATCAAATTATATTTTTAGTGTCTCTTTGACGCCTGTTAATTTATTTTATTGTTTTGCTACAAGATTATTTTCAACCATACCCAAAAAATAAAAAATCCCTATTTTTCACCCACGCATTTTCCTAAAAACATTATTCAAAACTCATTTTTCCCAATTAATGAGAATCGAAAAAGCTCTTAATTACATATTCAATGGATTCACAAACACTATTTTCATAACCAAACTCATTTTCTTACTTTTAACTACATATTCTTTAAAAAAACCATTTTTTCACAAAATCTATGTTTTGAATTCGAAAGCCATATTTCGATCAGAGCATTTTAGAGATTCTAAAAAAATCTCTACCAAT